TCATTCCAGGCCCAAAAAAACTCGTGCTCATTTGACTCAGGCCAGGGGGGCGAAGGAACCCAGGGTGCCCCGGCACTTCAACTTTCTTCGAGATTGCGGCGACCTTCCGCTCCGAACGCCAGCCAAAGAAAACCAGGGAACCCCGGCGAAACGCAGGGCTGCCCGTCGGCGACCTGTCAATGCAGGGGCCGCGCGGGCAGGCCTCAGCAACCACGGCAGCTGCCTCAGTCACAGGTCTGAGCAGATTGCTACATGCAGGGCCCAACCACTTCCTGTCGCCTGCGGCCAGCAGGCCCATCAGAGGAACGGGCATGCCGGCGGCGGGCAGGGAGTCGTTTCCCTCGGCATAAGGTCGGGTGCTGGAGGGTTCCGCAAAGCACGGGCCGCCAGCGGCGCAGAGCTCGGCGAGGGCCCCCGTACCACCAGGTGCCCCCTCAGATGGAGACCCCAATTTCAAGAACTCGGACTCAATATGGGCGAGAGCGGCCCGCTGCCTGCAGGGGCTGCTCCGACTTGGCGAACCCGCAGGCCGAGTCCAGCGAGTCAATGCAGCTGTTGGCCCAATCGAGAGTCTTGATGCTCCTCTGGCGCGGCTGCGCCCAAAGAGCCTCCAGCGCCGCAGCGAAGCGTCAGCGGCGGCAACGGGAACAGGTCGTGCTGCCGAGGGTCGAGGTCGAGCCCAGCATCAGGGGAACGAAGTGCATCGCCAGCAAGAGCAGCACCGGGATGGCGAAGCCCGGGCGGGGGCCTGAAATGCCCGGCGGGGGCGGCCCTGTCCTCTCCGCCGGCCCCCAGCCTAACCATCATCGCCGCCGCCATCCTCGCCGCCCTTGGCCTTCGACTTGGCCTTCGACTTGGCCTTGGCAGCGGCCTGAGCGGCGGCGCGTTATTCTCGTGCCTTCCTCCTCTCCTTCAGGATCGCGCGTTCCTGGGCTAGCTCCTGGCTCACCCAGGCTTGGAGCGCAGGGCAGACGCAGCAGTTGCCCCGAACGTGCTCAGTCCCCAGGTACAGGTGCTGGTCCAAGCAGGTCGCGTGGGTGGCCCCCGCTGTCCGCTCGCGGTACCTCTCCTCGATGATCTGCAGGTTCCTGAAGTTCGAAGCTCGCCATCTCCGTCACATTCAATTGGTCGAAGCACACTGCATTCTCGAGGGCGTTGCAGATCCGCAAGTGCTCCTCAACACCGCCCTCGTTCGTAAGCCTGCCGTCGGTCTTTCTTCCACCGATGATGTCGGGCCACAGGGCTTCCACCGCTGCCTGCCAGGAAGTGGCAGACCCACTTCAGCGTGCGCGGCCCTCCCACAGGCCAATCGACCCAGGGAGTCTCCGTCAGCAGCGGCAGCGCCTCGGAGGAAGCCCGATGCCTCTTCGCCATCGAGTCGACGAGGATCGGATGCACCCTGAGGTCGGTCGACGCCAGAGCCGCACCAGCCCCAGCGGGCGCCACAGGGGCGGCGGCGAGCGCGGCTGCCGGCACAGGCCCGCGGCCACCAGAGCACCAGCAGCAGGCACCACAGGCACCGCCGGCGCGGCGGGGACAGCCCCGGTCAGCACGCCACCAGGCCCGGCTCCAGGCGCGACGGCGTCGCCCGCAGGCCCCAGCACAGCAGCTAGAGCGGCAAGTCATCCACCAACGCCAGCGGCAGCCGGCGCGGCGCCAAAGGGGGCGAGACCGCTGCCGCTGGTGACACACCAGGTGCGCCCAAGCCCGCCGGCGGGGCCCCCGCACGGCCAGCCGTGTTCGGCGCCACCGGCAGGCCCGGCGCCCCACGCCTCCCAGCCTGAGGGCAGCTCGGTCGCGCGCCTGGCCGCACTCCGCGGCCAGCGGCACGGCCCCGAAGCGGTAGAGCCGCGCGGCAAGTCCCCCTGAGGCAGCGGGGGCGGCGCCGCCCTGAGCGCCACCAGGCAGGAAGCACCACTCCGCGGCATCCCTGCCAGCTGCCAGGTCCTCCTCGTGGCCATCGCCGTCTGGAGTGTAGCAGCAGCGCACCGCCCCTGCCTGATCAGGCAGGTACACGCACAGCCGCTCGTGCCAGAGAGGAGGCCCAGGGACTTGGAACCTGACCAGGTAGAAGTCCCCCTCGGCCAGCCCCGCGCGGGAGAGCCCATTCGTCGCCATCAGGCCGTCACCAGCCGCGGCGCGAGCGAACCAACCTCAGCTGCTCGAGCGCCTCCGCACGCAAGTCCGCTCCAGGCGCTGGCTCGGCCCCCCCCCTTCAGCTCCCCGAGAGCAGGCGCGGGCGGCGCCGCGGGGCGAGCCTCGGCCGCCGGCGGCGTGCCGCGCCCCAGGCCCCAGCGCCGAGCCGCGGGCAGGTGGGCCAGCGCGAAGCCGAGCCCAACGCAGATCGGGACGGCGAGCCAGCCCCCCGAGTAGTTGTGCCCGCAGTGCACCGTCGGGCACGCCGGGCACATGACAGCGCAGCTGCAGGCCGGGCAGTCACAGTAGCACGGAGCACAGCTTTGCCCAGCCGAGCGGACGGCGACGCCTATCCCCACCGCGCGGATGATCTCGATGAAACCCTGTTCGAGGAGTCCCGTGGAAAGGCGTGAGCTCACGGTTGAGCCGAATGTTCCGGTTCGGCTTCCATCCCCTTTTCTTCTTGCTTCTACATTAAAATGTGGGGATCTAGAAATATGGATGCGTGTGTATGTATGTACGGCAGGTTCGTGCCGTGTCGACCTGGGCGTTGGTCCCTGACGCCGCGAGGATCGTTCAACCTTGAACGATCGGCCGCTGCCGCAACGTCCGATCGTTCAACATCGACCGATTCTGGGCCGCCGCCGGCGTTCAACCTTGAACGCCCGCGCTGGGGTCGCCGCTGGTCGACACGACGCAAACCTACCGTATACAAATACATGAATATACATACACACACCATCTACACAAACATACATACATATACATATACACACACGTTGAAAGAG